AGGTGTTATGTACTCCAATAATTTTCTGAGCTCTTCAGAGGAGACAATAAGATCAAAGGTGATATCCCCCTCACTTACCCATGTTTCAGCAATCAACCTACATAACCCTGTAAAGAGGTCTAGAGATAAGTTTGCAGGCAAAACCTGGAGAAAATATAGAGAGGTCTAGTCTGGCAACCTGGGATTTTTTTTTTTTCTCATTTCTAGTCTCCCTAGCCAGTAAAACTTTCTAATGTAAGAAATGGTCTTTAATGACCAGTGGTGATGAGCATTTTTTCATGTTTGTTGGCCACATAAATATCTTCTTTTGAAAAGTGCCTGTTCATATCCTTCACCCACTTTTTGATGGGGTTGTTTGTTTTTACTTGTAAATTTGTTTTAGTTCTTTGTAGATTCTGGATATTATTAGCTCTTTGTCAGAAGGGTAGCTTGCAAAAAATTTTTCCCATTCTGTTGGTTACTGGTTTACTCTAATGATAGTTTCTCTTGTTGTGCAGATCTTAAGTTTAGATCCCATTTGTCTGTTTTGGCTTTTGTTGCCATTGCTTTTGGTGTTTTAGTCATGAAGTCCTTACCTATGCCTATGTCCTGAATGATGTTGCCAAGTTTTCTTCTAGGGTTTTTATGTTCTTAGGTCTTATGTTTAAATCTTCAATCCATCTGGAGTTAATTTTTGTATAAGGCATAAGGAATGGGTCCAGTTTCAGCTTTCTGCACATGGCTAGCCAGTTGTCCCAACACCATTTATTAAACAGGGAATCCTTTCTCCATTGTTTGTTTTTGTCAGGTTTGTCAAAGATCAGATGGTTGTAGGTGTGTGGTGTTACTTCCAAGGCTTCTGTTCTGTTCTACTGGTCTATATCTCTGTTTTGGTACCAGTACCATGCTGTTTTGGTTACTGTAGCTTTATAGTATAGTTTGAAGTCAGGTAGCATGATGCCTCCAGGTTTGTTCTTTTTACTTAGGATTGTCTTGGCTATGCGGGCTCTTTTTTTGGTTCCATATGAAGTTTAAGGTGGTGTTTTCCAGTTCTGTGAAGATCTATAGTAGTTTGATGGGATGGCATTGAATCTATAAATTATTTTGGGCAGTATGGCCATTTTTGCAATATTGATTCTTCCTAACCATGAGCATGGAATGTTTTTCCATTTGTTTGTGTCCCCTCCTATTTCTTTGGGCAGTGGTTTGTAGTTCTCCTTGAAGAGGTTCTTCATGTCCTTTGTTAGTTGTATTTCTAGGTATTTTATTCTCTTTGTAGCAATTGTGAATGGGAGTTTGCTCATGATTTGGCTCTGTTTGTCTGTTATTGGTATATAGGAATGCTTCTGATTTTTTCACATTGATTTTGTATCCTGAGATTTTCCTGAAGTTGCTTATCAGTTTAAGGAGATTTGGGGCTGAGATGATGGAGTCAAAATCATATTGTGATACCATCTCATGCCAGTTAGAATGGTGATCATTAAAACTCTGGAGACAACAGATGCTAGAGAGGATATGGAAAAATAGGAACACTTTTACACTGTTGGTGGGAGTGTAAATTAGTGCAACCATTGTGGAAGACAGTATGGCAATTCCTCAAGAATCTAGAACTAGAAATACCATTTGACCCAGCAATACCATTACTGGGTATATACCCAAAGGATTATTAATCATTGCACTATAAAGACACATGAACATGTATGTTGATTGTGGCACTGTTTACAATAGCAAAGACTTGGAACCAACCCAAATGCTCATCAAAGATAGACTGGATAAAGACAATGTGGCACATATACACCATGGAATACTACACAGCCATAAAAAAGGATGAGTTCATGTCCTTCACAGGGACATGGATGAAGCTGGAAACCATCATTCTCAGCAAACTGACACAAGAACAGAAAACCAACACCACATGTTCTCACTCATAAGTGGGTGTTGAACAATAAGAACACATGGACACAAGGAGAGGAATATCACACACTGGGATCTGTTGGGGGGTGGGGGGCTTGGGGAATGATAGTAGGGGGCAGGGGGGTTGGGGAGGGATAACATTAGGAGAAATACCTAATGTAGGTGAAGTGGGGATGAAGGCAGCAAACCACCACGGCATATGTATACCTATGTAACAATCCTGCAAGATCTGCACATGTACCCCAGAACTTAAAGTGTCATAAGAAACAAAAAATTTATAATTTAAAAATGAAAAAAAATTAACAAATGGTCTTAGGGTAAAAGTCAAATTAATGGTGTGGCTATAATGTCCTTTGATAAGGCTTTTTAAATATTTAAGGCATGACTAATGACTATCTCAATTAGACAAAAGATTTCTATATATCTTAAAAGCACTTCAGAAAAGCCTAATCCTAAAATAGACATAAATATATTTGTAGAGAGAAGTATGTGTTTAATTGCATGACTCTTACTAAAGCTAAGTATATTAAATCTGTTACACAGAAAACCAAAGGGTAATTAAGCGGATGGTACCATCAAAACAACTATTACTTTGGCTTAAAGAAAACAGATATTGGTCAAATTATAAAAAAGACTTCTGGTCCCCCAGCTTTCTTTCTTCAGGCAAGAAGCAGTCTGTGCAAGTTACTTATTCAAGCATAGTAATTTCTTTTTAAATGAAAAAGGGAAGATGCTATCAGCCAAGAATACAGAGAATGGAGCTACAGGCCACTGACAACAATGTACCAGAGAACCACTTCCATTCAGTAGAAAAGTATAATATACTGTGGAACAGCTTTCTGGGTAATACTACCATGACTTACTCACGAAATGTTCCCTGCTTCCAGAGTAGGGACAACTGGGAGTATTTTTCCTCACAAGATTCCAGACTTGTTATGGACAGTAACAGTTACATATTTTCTGTTCTCTCACTTTTGGAGTAGAAGTGTCTCTTGTAGTTATCCTAACCCTGTAACACCATTGTATATTGATATAATGTAGAATACAACTTTTCCCTTTGTTTCTCTAGATTCTAGATCAAGAGTAGCCACATCCAGATACAACGCCAATCACAAAATCCTGGACTTCAATCTTAGTTCTATAATTAGATGACAGTTTTGGCATCCTGGAATGATGGTGAAGATATGTGGGAGGGATGTTAATATTTGTAACCAGTGGGCACATTATGATAGATATAAAGTTGGCCACAAATGTTTTCTTTTCTTAAACCCACACCTCTGCAATGTGACTTCACAGATCCACAAAGCGGTAGAATATGTTTCTCAAATATGGGTTTGTCTTGAAACTTTCTTTGCCTAATATAACATTAGCAAATATGAAGCAAGCAGAGGCTTAAACAATGCTTATGCATTGGGAATAACCTTTTCTCTGCTTTTGGAACCTGTAACTGTTAGCATGCAAGAAACCCAGGTTGTCACTCCAATAAACAGCCTTACCAATTAGCATACATGTGAGGCCAGCGTCACTAAGGATCACAGTTTCCTAAAGGGATAAGCAACATCCCTCCTCAGTCTATCCTTTATGTGTGATATTTTGGCCCACATATGCTCCATTCCTTTGTCTTATTACACAATTGGATCAGAACATGTAAGAGAAAGATTGGTATTAATTATATGGCCCCTCTAGATCTCAGCAATGAAGATGATGCTTCATTTCTTTCTTCTACACTTGCAGTTAAGGTTCAAGACAATTTTATACATGCCTGAAAGGAGACATTGATGATTCTACATGTCTGATAATTGTATACTATTGACTAAACAATACCATTCATTACTGCATAGTGGTAAAAGCCAAAGCAGGATTCCTTCTTATGCAAATGGTTGTTAGGGCTTTTAGATGTCCCTTCATGGGAATCAACACAAATGAAGCCTGAAATTCTGATTCTGAGAACATGGGAATATACACAAATATCTTTTATCTAACCATTCTGAGGGATCATTAAGTTGTTCATTTTTATTACTTCCTATCCAGCACAGCACTTCTATTCAACAAGACTACTGCCCCTTGTTTATTAGTTACAAATACACGTATCATGCAGTCACTTCTCCACTTGCTGGAAGAAAGCAGTGACAGTGTCTGGAGTCACAGCCTTTGGCAGATCACAAGAAAATGAGAAAGACAGGTGAAGAAAACAGATATGATCAATGATTAGCTGTATGACATAGGTGGATGGAAGAGAGTAAGCAGATATGTAAGTCAGAAGGTAGTTACTGGTCTGTCTTGATCCCTGCTGATCCTCAACACCCATAACAATGTCTAAAAGATGATGTATCTACTGAAGGACAATAGAAACGATAGGAAGAATTGTTCTCACAATGTGTGCTAGCTCCTGGTCTTGCCTTAATTAGCAGTTCCCTATCTTTTTCCTCAGCCCAGAGATATAATTATAGATTTTTCCATGTCTGTGGTAAGCATTCAAAAACTAGACAAATATAGCAATACATCAATAATATTCAATGATGCAATAGCTATTACATTCTGTGTTACAATTTCTTAGACTACCCAGAAATTAACTATACTCTATGGAAGTAAACAATAAAGAATCAGGAATATTTCCCAAGTATTTATCCTTTAGGAAACATCTAAATAAAAGAAAAAGAAAAAAATAGATTACTTTAACATTATCAGAGAAAAGTCCAAGATAAAGAAAACAGGCAATTTTCAGGTAATTGCAGAAGCATTGAGTGCTCAGAGCCTTTGTGTGGCTGGACTCTTCCTTTGCTGGTTCTCTGGCTGCCTGGCTATGCTGATAGTGTAAGTCAAGGGATTATTAGATTGGCCACATGTTCTCAGCTTTTGTCTCTCTGTTTTCATTTTTTGGGAAATGAAAAAATTTCCCAAATTTTTTTTTGGGACAGAGATAGGAAGTTTGAATGGGACCCCAGAGATCTAAGAGAAAAGGAGGAGGGGAAAGAAATTTGTAGTGATGAGTGTTTTCTGCTCTAAGAATCCTGAGAGAATGTATGAGCTTGATTCTGGCAGAAGCAAACTGGCAATGTGAGTCAAGAATCAACCCACAAGAATGCCAGGATAATACCTCCTGAGACATGTCTCTAAATGACATCAGAAACTTCTATGAAGGATGTGTAAGTATTATGCAAACAAAAAAATATCAATTGTATGAAACTTTTCTAAGTATTTTAACCTGATTTACATAAGCCTTGGTGAATAAATTCCTCTATGTCTATGGAGAATACTATAAGTATCAACAATATACTTCAAAATATTCTGAATTTAAAACTATAAAAAGAGAAATTCAGGAAGTATCTTTAGATGTTGTTGTTTTAGCATAGCTCACTCTCTCAATTCCATAATTAAGAAGTAGGAAGAAAAACTGTAATTATAATGGATAAACATTATTTGGTTGTTAAGATGGTGTATGGACCAAACTTACTACTGGATTTGTTATCTAATTTGCACACAGAAGTGCTAGATATTCTGATTTTATTTCAAAAGGATGACCATGGTGGGAGTATTAATTGAATTCAAAGCTGGTTAAATATTTCCACATTTACACATTTGATTAGCAACATGTTGACTGCTGCTTTTCATATTTCAATAGTGAGAAATCTCATAATGCAGTAATTATATTTGACTTGATGATCTCTAAGGGTCTATTTGGCTTCAAAACTTCTTGAATCTTACATTTTTTAAATGTGGTAATAGGGACTTTTTAAACGTCCTCCTTTATTGTTTGTTTTTAAAAGATTTTTTTTTCCTCCTAAAATCATAACAGGTTAAACCTCCAACTGTGATTGGTCAATTCCACATCCGTTTCTTTGGATTGATCCGAATGTTCTTCCTTGGGGTACTACGCTTTGCAGTTTATGGGAATGAGGCCTTACACTTTAGTTGCAATTCAAACAAAAGAGAAATAAATCTCATCTGTTACAATCAGTTCAGGCCAATCTCCCCACAAGTTAGGTATTTCTGTGTGTATATAAACATTAACTCTACAACAAATTCATTTTCTCTTTAAATGTAAAATAAAGTCACTATATGAGAAATACTCTTAACAGTTTTTTTTTTAAGGACTATGTTGCTTTTTTAAAATTAGCTGCATATTTCAGATAAATTGAGTTTTAGGAGTTTCTTCCAATTCTGGCATTTTATTATCTACTGATGTTATCGTTATTCTCCAGAACTATATTCAGAATATAGAATTAGCTGGCTAATATACTACTGCATCATTATCAGTCATAGAGAGACAATTACAATAATATATGACTATGTTTTCACCATAAATATGTTCAACTTACTACCTTCATTATATTAAGACATAGGTAAGATTTTTATGAAACTTGGAATTTTTAAGTTATTGTATTTGGAGTGTATTTTTAGTTACATATTGGTTAATTTCTTTACTAAGATATTTCTGACATACTTTAGTTGTTCTGGGCATTACAACTATGATTGTCTTGGTTCCTGGAGGTATTTTCCATCTTTATGCTGCATGTAAAAACATCAATCAAGAATACATTCTTCAAAAGCCTATCTACACTGTAATTTATATACTCTCTTTTACTAAGAATTAGTCTAGAGGCAACAGCATTCTGGCTTCAGATTCATCTCTTTGGTTTCGAAGTAAAATCTCTTTACCTGTGTGATGCTAGATCTCTTGGGAAAAACATGATTATAAGATGCATGGTTCCAGAACACTTTGAAAAAAACCATTTTTCTCATTGCAATGTACACATTTACAACACTTACAATAGTATTATCTGTTGCTGAGATTTTGGAGATCATATTTAGAAGATTATACTTTCTATTCAGACAATGACCAAAGAATCGATTACCTATTGTCATGCTACTGTTGTTTATCATTTTTATTTAGTTTTATCTTCCTCAGTGAGTACCACAATTTCAAAACAAACTTACTTCAATGTGTCTGAAATTTATGTCAACTATAAAATATAATACCTGGTTGTAAGATAGGGATTCTTGAAGAAATATTTCATTTTATTTTAATTTTGATCACTTTTATTAGAAAATATATATACAACTACTGTTAATTTATTTTTAAACAGTGCTTTTACAGAGTTCTCTCACATACAGCTCAATTAATCACAGTTTTTTTGTGGCCAGAGTAACTTTTACTGTCTTTTTTATACAAAATAGAAAACCGATACTTAGGAAGATTAATTTAGGTGTCCCAAGTCATACAACCAGGATATAATCCCGATCTTCAAATTTCCCTTCCTGTGGAACTATGCAGTTTTAAATTTGAGGGTGTAATTATTTTGCACTCATGTAAAATATAACTTATTTAAGCAAAAAATATATAAATTAATTATTAAAGAATAATTCTATAGTTTGATCATTAACTTAAAGGAATGGATCATTTACATTTTTAAGATTTATTCATATAATTTTCTTGAAAGTTTTAATATTAAATGATATAGAAATATGGTTACAAATAAATAAAAAATGCTATGAATAATATTGTGCATGGTATCCTTGTTTTTTCTTGGGAAAAAAACCCTTCTGTGCCCAAAGATGTCCTGTAACTATAGCTTCCATATTTAAGGTTATCAAAAAGAAATTTTGTGCTTAGTTAGACTTCCTCAATAACTATGAAATTATTTCACAGACAAATTTATGTTGATTTGGTGCATTTCTTTTTATCTGTCTGCCTTACCAACAATTTGATACTTTTGATATTATTTAAAATCTTAATGTATTATTAAAATCTTTTTGTATTACTGCCTTATATTGGTAACATAGTAGGAAAATGAGTATAATCAAACATTAAGGTGTCCCATTTTTTCCTTAAGCTTTATGTAGCCTATTTGATATCACGAATTTCTGCATTTAAGGTTTTCATCGAGGTTTTCTCTACATGAAAGCACAGGAGAAAATCCAACATATCTTCACCCCATAAATAGCTACCGATGTCTATTATTTAACATGTACTGCATTAAAAAGTTAATATAAAAAGATCATCAAGATTTAATACCTTTATAAAATCATACTCTAGCATGTGAGCCAGTGGCATGCCAAGAAGGTGGGGACTGGTAAAAATAGTCCACTCTACAAAGAAAGGATATTTATTGACTTTCTTTGTTTAGATCAATTAACCATTGGTGTTAATAAACAGCAACAGTGTTTAATATTTCATCCTTATTCTTAAATTCTTTATAGATAACACACCCCTGGATTACCTGCATTTAAGGCGGAATGCTTCCGCAATCTGCTGACAAACATACACATTTTCATTATGGGTCCCATTTTTTCCACATCTTTGCAAGGCTAGTAATTTTTTATTGAATGTCAGGCATTGTGTGTTTTATCCTGCTGGATGCCGGTTATTTTTCTTCTCATGAATATTCTTCAAGCTAGTTCTGGAGTACAGTTAAGTTACTTGGAAATAGATGATCCTTTCTGCTTTTAAGCTTTGTTATATATGACCAATGTAGTACTTACTAACAGGCCAGTTTTGCCCCACTACTAAGGAAGAACCTTTCTGAATGCTCTATCAGATGCCTCTTTGGTGGTTTGGAAATACTATCCTTTCACTGGTCTCAAAAATCTTGAATTCTACCCTCCTGCTGGTTGACTTGTGGTGGTGACATAAACTGCCATTGCTATAAGAAACAGATTCTGTCTGTGTCCAAGGAAAGAAGAGAGATGGGGCAAAAGGACCTTCTTCTGGTTTGCCTCTCAGGATTCTTTCTCAGGGAAGATAATTTTTTTCAAAAAAATCCCATAGAAGACTTCCCATTAACACTATTACCCAATCATAGATGAACACTTGGATTTATTCTTACTCTGATTCATCCTTTAGGGTAGAGTATTGTCAACATATATCCATTTATTAAGAGATTTTTTTCCTCTCTGGCTTTTGGGAATAGCAGCTATTCTCAGTCTTGTGTGAATCTTGAGTATTGTTCCTTTTTATCCTTTCAGTTAGTTATTTTCCTGGAAAGGTATTTAAGGATGTCTTACTGATCAGGACTCACTTTAAGGCCCATTGCAGATCTCTGGAGCTCTCTTCCTTTCCAGCTCTCACCTTGCTGTAGTGCCCGTTAAAATCTAGCTAGCTTCTTTGGCTTTCTTGGGTTCTTGATTGCTTCAACTGACAAGGTGGAAGGATGGCATCTCTAAGCCACCAAAGAAACCTTGCTTGCCTCTATTTCTTTTAAGTAAACACTACATATTGTTATGTTTAAAGATAGAGATAAGATGAGAGAGGTGGTTTAGACAATCTTGTAAATTCACTGCTGACCTACTATTCTATGATTTCATTTTATTAGTAGCTATATCAGAATTGTTAGCACACAGTTACGTAGTCCTGAATAACAAATCCTATATACAAAAATTCATATTCAAATATAAAAACAAATTTTCCAGACTAAAATGCAAATATAGCAAAAATAAGAACATCAAAACTAAGCAATATGTAACCATTTGAAATATTTAAAACTATTTCATAAAAAGCTTTTGGGTTAAGCATGTTAATTTAAACTGAAGTTTTTTAGACTATTTGTATTAACAAGAAGTAGAATGTTACATATTAAAACCTATGAGACAGGACCAAATTTGTAGTGCATTGAAAATTGACAGCTGAAAATACATCTATTATGAAAAAGAAAACAATACATGTAATTCAAAAAGCAAACATAATAATTTATTAAAGATGAATAAACATAATTTAATAAGGATGTACGTAGAAAGTAACAAATTAGAAAACAAACAAAATAAAATAAATAAATCCCAGATCATTCTTAAAAATAACAATAAAATTTATAAACCTCTGGCAAATCAAATCAAATGTAGAAGTATACTATTGTAAGATTCTTGTAATATATGTAAATTATATAATCACTTGAAGTATGCTATGACAACTTAAAGATGTATATTTTAAAATATAAAACAACCCGTTTAATAAAGCAACACAATTTTAGCTTAACAAGCAAACAAACAAAATTAGCTAGAATCATAAAACATTCAATTAATACAAAAGGCAGCAGGAAAGAGAAAAAGAGAACAAAAACAGATGAAGCAAACAGAAAACAATAACAAGGTAGTGGAGCCAAACCAAACATATCAATAGTTAACAATAAATACAAAAGATATTGGCACTCCAAAGACATAGAGATGGTCTAAATGTATTTTAAAGTCAGACCAAATTATTAACAAGAACCCTACTTTAAACATTTTTAAATATTAAAAGGTTTAATATTTTAAAATCTTAAATATTTTATAGACAATAAATGGGAAAAGATGTATCATGCAAACCCTAAGCATCAGCGAGCTCAATTGACTATATTAATATGAGAAAACCCAAGTCGATTTTACAGCAGGAATGATGACAGAGACTAAAGAGACATTTTATAATGATTAAAGTATAATTTCATCAGGAGGCATAATAATTGTAATATGTATGCCACCAGTTAATAGAGATTCAGAATGCATGAAGCAAAACCTGATAGATTAAAAAGAGAAATACATCCTGTTATAGCTAAAGATTTCAACACTTCTCTCTCAGTAATAAGCTGACAAAGTAAATAGAACATCAGAAAGGATACAGAGGAATTATAAATAACTAACAAGCCACTTAAACTAATTGATATTTATAGGATACTCCACCTAGCAACGACAGAATAGACATTCTTTTCATGTGTGTGTGTAACATTCTCCAATAGAGATCATTGGCTGGCCCATAAGGAAGTCTCAAGGATTAAAATCATACAGACTATATTTCCTGGTCACAATGGAATTAAAATAGAAATTAATAAAAATAAGCTACCAGGAAATGCATCCAAATGTTTGAAAAATTAACAACATACTTTTATTAACCCATAGATCAAAGAAAAAATTACCTGGGAAATTAAAAACTACTTTAACCAAAAATGCAAACACAACTTATCAAAATAAGTGGAAAGCAGTTAAAATGGTGTTTGGCAGAATATTAGAAGTTCTAAATATTATTTATCTTAGAAAAGAAGTTATATAGTAATTTTAAATTCTCACTTTCAGAAGTTTTTAAAAGACAATTTAAATACAAATTAAATAGAATGATGCAAATATAAATACGAGTATAAAGCAGTAATAGAAAACCCAAAGACAATAGAGAAAATCAATTAAACCAAAACATAGTTCTTTGAAAAGTTTAATAAAATTTATAAATTTCGAGTTTGATGAGATAATAAAGAAGAAAATGAAAGTCATCCATAAGATAAATCAAAAATGGACATTATAGTAAAACCTTAAAGTGATTATAAGGAAACATCATGAACAAAGTTAGGTCAATAAGTTTGCTACCTAGATGAAAAAATTTCTAAATTCCAGACTACTAAAAACTGACAGATGTAAACAAAAAATATGAATATGACTATCCATACATCTATTTTTAAAATTCTAAATCCAAAGCCTTCCCACAAAGAAACACCAGGCCTTGATTAATTCAGTGGTGAATTCCATTAAATGTTTAAGGAAGAAATAATACTCCAAAATAGTTTTTAGGAATTAGACGAGAATATATGCCATTTCATGTAATGAGGACAGCAAACCTTGATGTTAAAAATTCTTAGCAAAAATATATTTGCAGATATAATTCAGCAATATATATAAAGATAATACATCATGTTAGGTAGGGTTTACCCTAGTAATGAAAACTTGTATTATCAACACCCATTTATAATGAAACAAACCAAAAACCAAACCCTAAACCTCTCACTTTAAATGGGTTCTACCTAAACTTGATAAATAGCATCTAAGGTAACCTACAGGAATTAACAGTTTCCCCTGTAGTCTCAAAACAGGCCAGGCTATCTACTT